ACCTTGGAGCATCTTAGAAGGGATAGTTGGGGGAAGGTTGGATATCTAAGCTACTCCTCTGGTACCCAGAGTGGACATGAAGACTGCTGCAGTGCTGACAGCTGAAGCTAAGCCTGCTGGGGAGTGGCAGTGGAGGGACCAGAATCCACAATCCATCCAAAAAGCCATGCTCCAGAGTCCTGGGCCCTTGCCATACCTCCTTAAATCCCTCTGGGAATAGCAGAGAGCAGGCACAAGCAGGTTGGCCCTCCCTGCTCTGTGTTACCCTCTTCACCCTGCAGCAATCACACAGAGGGGCTCCAGGGTCCAGCCCTGCCAGGGCAGGAGCAATTTTGGCCAGAGCACTGTGTGTACTCCAGGTCTTCACTGCCTGACAACAAGCACCTTGGTCCTCCAAGAGGAATAGAGAGAACTTTAGAAGGAAGCCAACTGTTATTTATGCATATTTTAAAATATATTTTGTTCACATGCACATCTCTGGCAGGCTTGTTTAGGGAAGTTGTAACAGTATCTGGCATCTCTTTGGTCTTGTGTACAAGATGAGGAAGTTTTCATCTGTGCCTTTAAAAAAAACCCGCATCTCTGCCAAGATGTATTAGGAGAGCTGTAAAAAAGGAGTCATCCTGTTCCAGGACGGCGAGGCTTATGTAACAGGGAAATCCTAACAAAAAGATACTCCCCCACCCTGCACACGCTCTTCCAAGGCACATGCCACTCCAGGGTTTTCAGTTGCTTGATTTGTATTTTGATCACATCTGCCACTGGTTTATTCAGATGTATTTACAAATATGTTCTTCCACATACCCTCATTTGTACATGCTATAGAACATCTTTATAAAATGCAGCATGGCCCTCACCTCATCACAAGGGTCTTTAAATAAAATATACTGTAAAGTGCCAGATATAATTCTTTTAAAAATACAGTTCTCATTAAAACAGATACTTGGCCACTGCATTAGCAGCTTTGTATACTGATACACTTTTAGCACAAGTCTATTTCTGTCAGGTGAGCGGGAGGCTCTCATACCGCCCTTCTAGCTTTCCAGTTTCAAGTCCAAAGGCTTTAGAAAATGAGGCAGAGGCAGATTGTCCAGAGCCTCTGGGAAATGCTCAGGTGAAATGGTCCTGATCAAGACACGCATGGCTCCGACAAACAGTGATGGGGGAGCTAAGCCCACCAGGCACTGGAATCTGTTCTCCCCCAGGAGGTCCTGCCACTGCTGCCGGTTGTCCAACAGTTGCTGTTTCATCGCAAACTGGAGGTCCTGAGGCACGAAGAGAAAGAGGCAGTCGAGGCAGAGGAGCTTGGCACGCATGTTAGCCGCCGGCATGTGGGAGATCTGCTGCAGCAGGGTGTCGACGGGGGTGTTCCCGGCGCTGTCCCGCAGGGAGGGCGATGCTCCGTGCCCGAGCAGCAGGAGCAGGCACTCGGGCCGCACCAGTTCGCAGGCCATGTGCAGGGCTGTCTTGCCGCCCTCCACGCGGCTGCAGCCTCGGCGGTCCAGGTGCCCGGCTCTGTCGCCCGGCGGGAAGGCTTGGATGGCCTTGAGGATTCGGAAGAGGATCCGGACGCGGTTGTAGCGCACGGCCATGGCCAGGTGCGGGGCCGACTGGCAGCAGCTGAAGCTTTGGCTGGGCACGGCCAGGGCGCTCTGGGGGAACTTAGTCAGCAGGTGCCGGGCGTAGGGCTGGTGGTCGTGCACCAGCGCGTACAGCAGCGCCTCCGAGGGCGAGTACACGCTCACCTTGCCCCCATCCTCCCAGTGGAAGACCTCCATGGTCCGCATGTCCTCCAGGAACCAGACGGGCAGCAGGTCCCTCACCGCCTGGTAGAAGGCGAAGGAGGATTTCTTGCACTGCTTCTGGGACTGGGCGCCGCAGCCGCCGACCCACCGGACGCTCCAGGGCATG